TGTAAAATACTAGCGCTCGGTTAAAATTAAATGAATATACCAAACATTAAAGTCAAGACTATTAAGAGCAAAATTAGTCCAGCTGTCATTTTAATTTACTTTTATAACAGCTTAATAATTCAGTTTATTTTCTTCATGTACCGTTCCTACAGTCATCCAACGTTACGAGTATGACCCTAATCGTCTAGTTTCGGTCAGTTTGTCCGAATAGCTTGTGATGACGACGTAATACGGTTTAACTTCAGTGTTGCCAGCTTGCATTTAAAGTGCACCCTAGTATGTCTCGAGGGTACACAGGTCACTTAGCATTTAAACTATTTGCCGCTCCGGCAATGTCGGCTAAAGGCAATATTTGTTTACGAAAACGAGTAAGTTAATGAATACTTAGTTAGCTTAGACTTTCCATGTGAAAATGTTGCCAGTAAGACTTCGAGAATATTTTTATCAAAAATTAAGATATAGATTATGGCATTAATAAAAAGGTAATAATATGCCGATAGTGCATAAGTTACGCGAAATTACTATATGAAAAAAAAAAACATGCGGCGTTTACCTCGGGTTTTGTCTGATCGTGAATCAATGATGAATTCATGTTTCTTATTAAGTTGCAACTCGGATTTACTTTTCAGTTTAACTGCGCAGGTAACAATGCTCACGCAAATTTTTAGTCGTGACACAGCTAAATAAATGAATGTCTATATTAAAAAATGTATATTAATTATACATTTTTTTTTATTACGATATTAATTTACGAGGCTTTAATACAAATTAATTTCAATTATCTAAACGTCTATAAAATTTTAAATATTTTAATGTTACGTTTAGATATTAGATATGTTCAAGTTTTTACATTTTTGGAATTTTTATGGAAAAAATGAAGTAGGTACGTGTAAATTTTGAACCACCTTTTGAAATACGTTAAAAATTACTTTTGTTGTCAATGTATGTTTCTCCCACACAAAAATATAAACATTGTTCTTTCTTGAAGATGAATAAAAGTGTGGGTGGCTATTCTTTATTTTTTTTTTATTCTACCCATACATATTTTATTTATCACAAGAATGTACAAGTGTACTTAACGTCCACACCTCGGGATCATTTTCATTTTAATAAAATATTTTACCTTGATACTTTCATATTTTATTCTTTTCATTTACAAAGAGTAAATTTTATATTTATAACCTATAAAATAATATATAACATTACGTTATACAAAAATTATTTATAACTAATAAGTTGTACCTTTTTCGTGAAATAAAAAAAAATGTAGGTAGGTACGACAATGTTTTTAAAATAAACGTGCGTCAACGTTTATTTTAAATAAAAATATATTAAATTAAAAGTAAATTATGATATTTTTATTACGAGTGTAAGTATATTAAGATATTTATGACTGTTTATAATATAACAGTTTGTAATAAAAATAACCCATATTTCTTTTTTCTTTATGCAAAATTGACACTGTTCCTACCAACACTGAGTGTAAGCCTTTATAGTGCACTGAGAATCCACTTAAGTTATTAAAGCACAATAGGGAGTCCGGGCCATGGCGCTATTGTGACTCTATCAACCTAATTGAAAACTGTTTTATAGCTCAAATCTGTGCATTAAATATTAAAAGTTCAAATTAACTGTTTGTGTAACCTATTGTAGATTTCCTTTCATGACAATCAAAGTGGTCCTAAAATGAAGTTGTTATTTGGTATATTTTATAACACTTATATTGTATGTGATTTTAATAACCTTATATTGATTTATTTGATTTTGACATATTGTTTTAGCCTTTTATATTTTGTTTAGAAATTCAAAACGATAATTATGAAAAAAAAATGTATTATGTAGGTGTATACATATATACACCTCTACCCTCAAAGGCAACAAATCAAAGTCCACTTCCGCTTAGTAATTCTAATAAAATTAATGTGCAGTAGAATATTTTATTTACTTTATGTAGGAGCATTTTTGTAAAAAAAATTTTAATATACCTGCTCTCGTAAGCGTTTTATAATATGTAGATGAAAAAGGCGAAACCATATAGATTATTTCGAGACTCAATAACTCGTCGAAGAAGTTGATTGAATGTACGTACAAAATTATTATTTTTAAATATTAATGGTTCGTTCGGTGCCTGCCAAGTTACGTATTGAATATCATTAATTAAGACGATGCCAGTGATACACTCTTATAGTACCTATCGATGAGAGTGCCTTTACGCGTTAAGCCTTGTTCATAATTGAATTTAAAATCATTAAATATATTTGAAGTACTAGTTACCTACATTTACATGTTTTAAGAAATATGTAATACCGTTTATTTTGTAATACGTTTTTTTTTCCAGAAAAGACCTATACCTAAAAGTTAAGTATACCTTAAAGTTAGTTAAACTTAAAATGCAAAACCTTATCTAAATACAAAATTTAATCGAAACCGTTACAGCCATTTCCGAGATACTCGAAATAAATTTATATACAAGAACTGCTTATTTAATATTATAACATTTATATGAAATCTACAGAGTGCTTTTATCATGACGTATGTACAGACATCATATGTAATTCTAGAAAACAGTAGTAGGCATTATTTTTGCTCTAATAACTCTACATAATGAGTAGTAAGATGATGACAAACTCTACATTTGAATTTAAATAATATACATTTATCTCATTGATTAACTGGACAAGATGAAAGATATATTTCTACTAACTTTATCAAAACACTTATACGGAGTACATTATAAATTCCATAGTAAGGATTAATTCAAGATTTTTTTTCGTGCTTTATAAATTACCTTTAACCTAAAATTAAAATATAGCACTAAACTTATGTGGTATTTTAATATTGGTGTACATACTTCATTCATACTACGTATGTATACGGGAATATTCAGTATTAGACGTGTATGTTTCAATTATAGAGATATCCTTTATATTATAATTATAGAATCGGAAGGTCTCTCTTTAGTACTTTTTAAGTTTATCCATACAAACATTTTATTTCACATTATATTGCGGTAAAAATTTCATACAAATCATACCTACTAAGAGTCTTGCACTATGAAAAGTTCAGCTGCTTTTAACTAGGTTCTTTAGAACCTCAGACTCCATTATAAAATGTTGAAGAAATAATGAATACGTTGTATCTCAAAAATTATGTAAACTTTTTAAAGGAGTTCCTATATTGAAGAGGAGTATCAATGTTTTGTCTACACAAAGCATTTTTAGAGAAAATCTATCGTAACTATGAAGTTCAGTATTGAATAAAAGTATTTTTTTGAAACAAAAACAATTAATATCATTCAAGACATTTTTAAATAAATAAATATTAAAAAAAAAAGATTTTTTTAAAACAAGCCTTTATATCATATAAATTGTGTAATTTAATAAATGGTTGATTTAATTTCAAGTTTATCTTTTATTTTTTAGGTATTTTTTGTATTCTTCTCAGCAAACCCTATCATTTGATGTCCATATATGTCATGGGCTCAATCGGTTGAGGATAACTGCTTTAAAATTCAGTTGCAAGATTTGACCTGAACAAACATACATACAAACATTGCAAATTAAATAAAAGCTTGTAAAATAATAACAAAATTATGTTCATATAAAATTAATATTATGTGTTTTTGTAAACTGTCAGATCGTTTATTCTTTCTTCCTTATTTATTCATTACTAGCGGCTCACCCTCGCGTCGCTCGGGTTCGCCTCTAGAAAAACACTAATATTATCTATTAGTTCCCACGGGAACTGTTTCTTTCTCCGGGATGAAAAGTAACCTGTTATTTGACCGGCAATATAAGGTATTAGAAAGTCAAATTTTTCTAAATTAGGTGCATAAGTTGTTGTGTACTAAGCTGTATAAGTTATTATAGTTTTTTAACAATCCCACGGGAACTATTTAATTTTCCGGGATAAAAAGTATCTAAGACGTATCGGTTCCACCATGCAAAATTTCATTTAAATCGGTCCAATAGATTTGGAGATTAGCCCGTACAAACAGACAAACAGACAGAGAAACAAAAAATTTCAAAAAAAATCTGGATTTGTTCTATTTGTCTTCTTACATCCCCCTGGCTCGGTTTTTAGCTTTTTTTTTGCTATGTACAGACATTCGACCTCTACTGTTTTATTATAGTATAGATATACTAGCGGACCCAACAGACGTTGTCCTGTCTACACGTCTTTAATTTGAAAATTAAAAATTAATTAAAAAAACATTGTCCAGCGGACAAAATTGTGAATCTAAACCATTCCCAGATCCCCTTGAACACACACAAAAAATTTCATCAAAATCGGTCCAGTCGTTTGAGAGAAGTTCAGTGACATACACACTCACAGAAGAATTATATATATAAAGATATTGGTTTCAGAGTCAATTAATGACAAAATTTACAATTTCGCCGTTTCCGTCCGTTCGACGGTCTATATGACACATTCTGTAACTATAACTTAGAAGGCTAATTTTTGCTTAGAAAGCTATTTTTGTATGTATGTATTCGGCCCTTTTTAACGTCCCACTGTGCTGAGCACGGGCCTCCCCTTCAATACGAGGGGGATCAGGCCATAGTCCACCACGCTTGCCAAGTGAGGATTGGCGGACTTCACATGCATTTCGAAAACTTGCTAGGTCCTCTCAGACATGCAGGGTTCCTCACGGTGTTTTCCTTCAAGCAAGTGTTTTCTAGATAAATAGAACAATCAGTCGACCAATCAGTCGACCGATCAGTCGACCAATCAGTCGATCGATCAGTCGATCGATCAGTCGACCGATCAGTCGCCCGATCAGGCGACCGACCAGTCGACCGACCAGTCGACCGATCAGTCGACCGATCAGTCGATCGATCAGTCAACCGATCAGTTGATCGATCAGTCGACCGATCAGTCGACCGATCAGTCGATCGATCAGTCGACCGATCAGTCGACCGATCAGTCGACCGATCAGTCGACCGATTAGTGGATCGATCAGTCGATCGAGCAGTCGATCGAACAGTCTATCATCATCAATGAGTGAGTAAGTGAGTGAGTGAGTGAGTAAGTAAGTAAAATAAATAGATAAATAGGCTGTCAACCCGCGTGCCCCAAACCAGCCGCAAACATTCAAGGGTGAGTACGCTCTTCTATAGATATTTAAGCTATGAAAATTTTCCCACATGTTTGAAATATCGTACGGTTAACATAATCTTATATTTTTTTTGTCATTTAAATTAACGTATTAAGACGAATAGCTCATTTTAATATTAGTTCTCTACGTATCGATTTGTTAGTTGTGTTAAGCAATTTAGCAAACAAATTGTGTATTTAGTCTTACAAAAAGATCGATAAAACGATATAAATTACTCAACACATGTTTATTTTAATATTATATTTTTGATTATAATTGCCCTTTCGAATGAAAAAAATAGATAAATAAATAAATAATTTATCGTTTTCCTTAACGATGAAAAAGAGCACTTATCAAAATAATATCTTGTTGGTTGTTTGATATTAAGTAGAAATAGAGCAGTAAGTAAAAGTTGCGTTAATATTATTTCGCTTTAAACACTTATATAGTTATACTTACACATAGCGTTGCTAGAGTCTAATAGGATTTTTTAAGAGGAATAATTCTGTAATACATTGTTTTCACATAAGTTTATTAGTTTACGCGGCGCACGCCAATAAAGCGGAAGCTGGAAACTCAGCATGATATTTTCCGATATCTTCAACAATCGTCATTTCAACCAATTTACACAAAATAAATTACATGAATAAATTACTTTGGGAGAAACCAGGGCGAGTCGCTTGTATATAAAATATTTTATATTTTAATCATACAAAAGATAACAGAATCGTATTCATTTATTACAAGCCGGTGCGAAGCTAAATCTAAATAAAGAATAGTATTACAAATGCCGTAGAAATCGCGAATATAAAGAAAAATATAAAAGGATTGAATCTACTTTTTTGAACTCGATAACGAGAGCTTTATTAAAATAATAAAAACCAAAGCATTCTTATATCAGACTAGCGGCTCATCCTCGCTTCGCTCTGGTTCGCCTCTAGAAAATCAAAAACAAATCTATCCCTCGGGAACCGTATATTTTTCCAGGATAAAAAGTAGCCTATGTATTATTTCAGACTATGATCTATCTCTGTGCCAAATTTCACTCAGATCCGTTCAGCCGTTCCGGCGTGAAAGAGTAACAAACATCCATACTCACAAACTTTCACATTTATGATATTAAAACAAAGTAGCTTTGTAGATTTTTTAAATAGTCATATTATATTGAAAATTGTCCAATAATGTATTTCTCTCCTAATTAAGTTGTACGCTTTATTTTGTCTGAATACTACATTGAGACACATTGATATTTATTTATAGGTACTTCTAATAGTCTTGCCATATTTTTATCTATAAAAATGCTAAGGTATTTAATATTAAATAAGAATGAATACAGAATAATGTACAAAAATTAATATATATGTAAAGGAACTTTTGGTTACCTTTTAACTCCATCATCAGATCAGTTTCACGGCATCATAGTATTGTAATAGAACCTGTAAATGCTTGAAGATTGAATTGTGGAAAAGCGCACAGACATATAAATAAAGCAAGTTAAATAAAAGATTTTAAAAAGATGCTCTTTTACGAGTATATTTACGAGTACTTTGTGAATAGCCCAGGATTTGATTTAAAAAAATAATTTCATAATAAAATAAATTGTTTTATGTTTGTTTCAGTTCGCAACGGTTACTCTTGCGTGCCAGTGGCTCTATCCGAAGGTTTAGACATCAGGCTAGGGACGGCGGTCTCTGAGATATCATATGGCGGTCCCGGTGTCACCGTGAAGGCTGTCAACCCGCGTGCCCCAAACCAGCCGCAAACATTCAAGGGTGAGTACGCTCTTCTATAGATATTTAAGCTATGAAAATTTTCTCACATGTTTGAAATATCGTATGGTTAACATAATCTTATATTTTTGTTGTCATTTAAATTAACGTATTAAGACGAATAGCTCATTTTAATATTAGTTCTCTACGTATCGATTTGTTAGTTGTGTTAAGCAATTTAGCAAACAAATTGTGTATTTAGTCGTACAAAAAGATCGATAAAACGATATAAATTACTCAACACATGTTTATTTTAATATTATATTTTTGATTATGATTGCCCTTTCGAATGGCAAATTAATGTCTGACACTTAATCATCGTATCTTTTGGATAGATATAAAATGCGTCTATAAATTATTGCCTTATATTCCTTTCGAGTAAATTATGCATCGATGACAGTTATGTATGAACGTAATCTGTAAAACGCTCACTGACTAAACAAACATGAGACTTCTCTTCGTTTTTATTCTAACTTTGTTTTAGAATCCACTTAAAATTTATAACGGACATTATCGGCTTTCCTCCCATGCAATGTTTTAATATTTCGCTTACATAAATATTGAACGTTATAATAAAAATCCGCTGTGTGTATTTTGGCAAGCGCCGTCGTCGCTGTACACGGATAATATTCGCTTCAAATACAAAAATTAAATTCATCTATCCATAATACCAAGGAAGTTCTTCCAAAACAGAAAACAAGCGAGTCTCGTCACACTAATGGGCGTTATTAGAAAAATCCACAACGCCGCCGGCGGCTCCTTGTCATTTCTTTGTCATGGAGTGATTTGCAATTCTAACACGTTAATTTTACTTTGACGAGGCGCAAAAATACGTTCAGGCCTCTGTTGACCTAGCGGTTTGCCTCCCAGCCCGCTCGTCTCGCCCGAAGCTATGCCGCATTTGCATACAGGCGGGGTCTATTGTGGAAAAGGCAGTTAGACGCTAAAGAGGCGGTACCGGTACTCAAGCTACGCTATGTGAAAAAAAAACGAAGCGTACCTACTGCACAATTTTTAAACTCCATCGCTGGCTTACTCTGGGACTTGTAGGATTTTTAAGTTTTTCGTAATAGTTTACAGGCATTATATTTAATTTTTCTCACTTTATTAATAACATCAAGACTATTTTTCGAGCAAACAAGGCCTATTTATAATATAAATTTCACTCACTATTTATATATGCACTGGGCAAATGAAAACACGTGGTCGCAATTACTGTAAAGAGCACTTTATTCAGAATGTGGAAGTTGTTGCGGCTTTGTTAGTTAAGGTCAGGCTTTCACGGTGATTGCTTCTAGCCCGCGGCGTTTTCATTTGACGGCCGATCCCATACATTTACAGATATCGTTACAACATCAACCCTTGCAAAAATATCTACACTTGCCTCGGCTCGCGCAATAATGGACTATACTGTCGGTGTATAAAATTGAGTAGGTACTATATAAAATTGAGTGAGGTCCGCTTTCATTACATTAATAGTTTGAAAAGCAATTTCAATTATTACTTGAAATTGTACCGCAAGCACAATCCTATAACTTATAATTTATAATGCTGTAAGCGAGACTGTAGAAGTGCTTTTCTTAACAAGTACAGTTGTCTCATTCGTAGTTTAATAGTAAATGGCATTTAAAGTTTCAATACTTACTTTCATTCAGCTAATGGCTAAGTTTATATTAAAGAATATTATTTTATAAAAGCCATTTTTAATAAAGAAAATGTAGTATATTCATTTTTAATATTAAGGATCTTTGGAATATTTTAAGAAGACATGTATGTAAAAGCAAACGTATGCATGTATGAAATATGATGTAATAAAGTTTTTTTTTTTAATTTAAACTTACGGTCACTTGTTTTGTTTTTGTTTCCACTCACGTACTATAAAAAATGACGGAACAACAACACATTACCTATATATTCATTTTTTTAGATCTAAAACCTTAAAATGTATAATTATATGGTAGACGTAAAACTCCTAAGGGTAAGTGCAAAAGTTGAATTAAAAAGTAACTTATATGAACAAATATTATTTTAACCACAGAGTGCCCCCATAATTTAAACTACATCCGTGTAAAGTTGCGTTACATGTATAGTGCATATGTTTAAACATAACTCATTTATCATCAATGGTTCCATTAATAATATGTTCTTGGGAGTGATTTAAGGCGTTGTAACCTTTGCTACTTCAGTCTCGAACTTCAAATTGACGAAAATAAATGTGTGAAATCAGTATCGAACTTATCAGTGTATGGATCATATTTTCCTGTGACTCACTCGTAACATATAAATTTTAAAATTTTAATAATATAATAATAATTTCAATCAGCCTTTTTACCTGTTATTGTTGCCTTATAAAATTGAGACAGAAGGATAGCGAAAGCATATTAAGAAATAGAAGGGTTCCGTCTCGACCCTTGTGAAACATTTTATTACTAACATAACGTATGTCACTAATGGTCGTACTCTTTGTATGTATTAAATTTTATTCAAATCGGTTCAGCCATTTTAGCGTGAAAGGAATAACAAAAATACACACATACAAACTTTCGCATTTACATATAGAAGTGGTGTGATTAAGTGTATCTGTACATACCTATAAAAAAATTCTGACTTAGTCGAATCTGTACATTAAATATTTTTTGGAAACTCTTATTAAAATAAACATAATTATCGATTCAGAAGCCGAATTTATAGTTTCTTGAATTTTTGTCTGTCTGTCTATTTGTCTGGAAACGCATCAAGAGAAAACCACTGGATAGATTTAGATGAAATATGGTATGATGATAGCTGGTTATCAGGGTTAACATATAGGCTATTTTTTACTGCGGAAAAATATCTCTTTTCTGGAAAACCTATACAAACCGTTAAAACGTATTTAAGGTCGAACCCGAGCGGAGCGAGAGTGAGTCGCTAGTTTCTTTATATTATTACATTATGTTATTTTGTATACCTATTCTTCAGATTTTTTTTAATTGCAACAGTTTAACTCTAATTTAGTATAAATTATATAGCTATAAAGATGTCTAGACTTTTTATTTATATCATTTCTTCAATTTATAACGAGTTTTATTTAAGGCGACGTGATCCTGTGCACGCTGCCCCTGGGAGTGCTGAAGGTGGCGGTTGCTAACAACGGCCAGAATCAGCAGAATTACGTTAAGTTCGATCCACCGTTGCCCGATTGGAAAGTGAGTGTGCTTTAATAATAAACTGTCTGGGATAATATATGTAATATTTATGTATATACTTTTGTGTTGAGCTGTTTTTAGTTGATTATGGTAGGATTTTTGTCGTGATATTGCGACGTCACATTAAGACAGGAGAGGTTGTTTGGTTTAAGTTGGTACTACTGGCTTTTCTAGTCGGTGTTGCACATAACCTATACCCTGTATGTCAACAGGTGGTAAGCGTAAATGCATTTTCCAACATAAAAAATATATGATAGGATTTTTAAAATGTAATAATTATTGTTAAATTGCATTATTGTTAAAATTTTATTTATTGCCTTACTTATTGTTTGATGGTTATTTGAAATTATTGCTTTATGTTGGTTTTATTTAAATACGCAGAAACATTTTTTTGAAATGTTCTGTTAGACTCGATGCACGTTCACCACGTGACAACAAACGTCATTATAAATGATATTTTTATAATAGTATACTTTGCTAATTTTAAAATAATGTAAAGTTTCACTTCAATTTATTTTAAACCGATCTTAAGTTAATTTAAATTTAGAACCAAAGCTCCCAGTGCTATGCGGTTAAATGTAAATACGGATGGTATCAAGTGGTTGAGACTAAATGAAAATAGATAAACGTGAGAAGCCGCAGAATAAGCGTAGCTTGTAGTACAATGTATAACAGAATGTTTCTTATTACTCAGTAAACTAAACACTATATAATTATTACAATTACTTAAAGAATAATTTTAATATGCTTTTGATGGTAAAGCTTAATTAAATTTTATTATAGGTAGCAGCCATAAAACGCCTCGGCTATGGAAACCTAAATAAGGTAGTGCTATGTTTTGAAAGAACCTTCTGGGACCCGAGCGCCAATCTCTTTGGACATGTCGGCACGACTACAGCTAGCAGAGGTAAGTTTACGTAATTATAAACAATGCTGAATAATTTATGGTCAGATTCTATAGAACTTAGGTTTTGTTTGCTTTTCATTTGATATAATATTTACTGAAGCTTCATACTTTGGGATAGATAATTTATACCTAGATAATTAATACAGAATATACTTACATGTTTTTAGAACGTTTTAAATTAATATATATAAAAAGCTTATAAGTAGTATGTATGTATTTTATATATATATATATATATATATATATATATATATATATATATATATATATATAATAATAAAAAGTTTTTAATGAACATAATAGTGTGCATTAAAACCTTTTAATTAGGCTAAATATTACTTCTAATTATACAAACATCATAATAATATTTAAGGTTGTACGCGTGTATATCAATATTAACGTTCTCAAAAGCCCGCAAATTAACCACGCCGTATCTACTCCCCGAGGATGATACTCGTAAATTATTTCCCGGTGTAAATAGTGTAAAATGTAGAAACAGCGGTGGCCAACGCGATAACGAATTAAAAGCTGAATAATTTAACGCCACTGAGCAACCCTAAGGGGAGCCTTGAGTAATAAATCACGGCAACGAGTCAAGACAAGCTATTTTTTATGTTATGCTTTAGTACACCTTAGTTCTTTGCTTGGTACTCTACTAACTTCATTAAGGCCGTCTTAATAATACTTACCGGAACAATGTACGTGTTTTTTTATACCCAATTTAATGGTTTCGGTGTAAAAGATCGGATATCACTCGGTATCGTGGACATCGCCTCCAAAGTTATGTGGGAACACGTGCCATGGGGGTTTCTTAAATATCGCTCGATCTGTAGTCATTTAGTAGCATCGTGGACCTCATTATGGCCTTATTGGGTTACCCCATTCCAGATTAATTTATCCGTTACCATCGACGTCACTAATCTTACTTAATTGCATACAAATATCTATTTATTAACGACCAGGAAATAACGTAAGTGATACGCTCATACAAATAAATACATTCCTTTTAAACGGCATGGCTATTTTGAATTGTTCCTTTTAAAATGCCGACATTTCTATATAAAGCTTTTATTTCGAACTCTTTAATGGAAAAAAATGCTGAGCTGGATCTCTTTGTTGTATTTTTAATACTCTTTAAATTAAATTCTGTAACGTAAAAAGAATATTTCTGTAACAAAATTGTTACATTACATAGATATTATTTGACGAATTTACATTTTTATAATGAAAATAAGTGGTGTGGAATTTCATTTTTTGAAAATATAAAGATAGAACTGCGTATTTATTATATAGTTCAAACTATTTTATTTTGTATGATAACATGAGTTTCAAGAACAATACAATCAGACTGCAACATGCCAGCGTACACAACATAATACGTATAATCGCTAGTAATGTGACCTACATTACACAACTAGAGGAAAATTGAATTTGACGACAAAAATGTTATAATGGTTGTTAAAATGTAATAATATTGAATTTTTAGTATATAAAATTAAACGAAACATAATATGTTTTATTTACACGAAAGCAACTTAAATTGTAAGTTTTTATATTTGTTTTGTTTTTCATACTATTTATAACAGAGGCGAGCCTATTTTGTGCCTATTTATTTACACAACTGTTCAACATACAAAAGCATAAATTCCTATACCATATACAGGTGAACTGTTCCTATTCTGGAATTTGTATAGTGCGCCGGTCCTTCTCGCGTTGGTCGCGGGTGAGGCCGCGGCCGTGATGGAAAACGTCACGGATGACGTCATCGTCGGTAGATGCATTGCAGTGCTGAAGAGTATCTTCGGACACGCGGCCGTACCACAGCCTAAAGAATGTGTCGTGACAAGGTAATTATTCAATGTGTATTTTTTTAAATACGGAGTAATCTGACCACAGCTTAAAGAGTGCGATGATACGAGGTAATTTTTCTACATGTGAAATGATTTTTTATACGTACATATGTCACTTTAATATTTTTTGGATATACCAAAATATTTTCCAATTTAAATGAAACCATTTAGTTTATTTTTTGTGTTTCTAATTTGATTTTTGGATTGATGTCTCTACCGCGACCGTTTTGACTGTAAAACATTCGAAACGTTGGGAACGAAAATAAAAGTAAAAAGAAAACCGCGGGAAAATCCGAAAAGTCCTTTTTATTTAAAGCGTATGGTGCTTATTTTATTTTTGATAAACTTCAAAAGCGACGGTATTCAATTTGTTTGTGTGTTTTTTTTTCTTTTCCTGTGCGTATGATAGATAGGTGATATATTCATTAGTGAACCGATTTTTTAAATTACTTTTTTTTAATATTATAACCTCGCATTCAGCCATATTATCGATATCGAGTCGATACCTTCCGTAACTCACATTTTAAAGGGTTATGATCTGCTAAGCCATTTTTGATATCGAGTTTCAATTAATTGGTCTGTTTTGTTTATATAGTTGCTTGTTTCCCAAATCCACTTTTCATTAGTACACTTTTAAATAGTTCACTTTTAAATAGTAGCTTAAATTAAACAACACAAAAACAGTGTTAAAATCCCATCCCGTATTATAAACTGTTTTATTTGCAACAGTGCTACCGATTTAGAAGACTTAGCTGCAACTGCAACGCTAAATCGCGCAGTTTCGATTTTCAAATTGCTCTATATCCGTCCAGTTGAACGCAATACGAGTGGTTATGTTAATAAATTCCATTACCCCATGACGTAGACATGCCCGGCCTTTCAACCTAGTATTTGCAATACACATTTTGTATGCAGTTCGCAAAGCTGGTTTGTTGTACTAAACTAGACCGATGTAGAATCCCGTCGCCACAATTGTGTGTTAATCGCCCTTTAGGACCTCTGCCTTAAGTGTCTGAAAAGTATTTGACTTTATAAACACTGCATTGCCTACACAAATTGACATTATGGTCGCCTCCGTCAATTCTTCTATTTAAACGATCACAAAATTCGCTCACGAAACGTCCCATTTATGCATACAATGCCGTCTATTTGTATTGTTTTGCCCTTTCAATATGACATTGTAGTCGTTATTTGGGTTATTAAAATATTTGCGGTAAAGCGAGCTTTGAATTATTGAAAAGTCTTATGGTAAATGATGGTTTGCGTCATAAATATTGTCACAATTTGCGTTGTGGCCTGTTCTGCCTCAAATGGTATTGGAAAATACGTATTTAGAGCTTGCGAAATGCCGGAAATTGTGTACTGGCTCTCTTAGGTCGCAAATCATTAACTGAACTTTCTAGGTCAATAATTTTTACGTGTAATGATATTTTAAATTTATTTATATGATTTTTGTAACTTGCCTTGATTTGTTGATTTTATTTTGATATTCCTCTAAAATACACAAAGTTTCACTCATTTAGTCTAACATGGAGATAAAATCTTTATTATTTAACAATCAAGTTACTATAGAATTATATATTATTATAAAAATTTTGCTCTGCAACTCCATCGCTACTAAGTAAAGAAAACATCAAGGGTATAAATTCCTAAGTACAAAAAAGTAAAATTTAGTTTAAATGAAAAATAATTGTATTGGAATAGATGGCGTGCAGATCCATTTGCCCGTGGTTCCTACAGTTTCGTGGCCGTGGGCTCCTCAGGAACGGACTATGATCTACTGGCGGCGCCTGTGCCCGACTCATCTGGAGAGAACAGACTGTTCTTCGCTGGTAAGCTTTACTTTGGATCTGATATTTTTTTAACAATTCGTCGCCTTAGTGCTTATTTGTTCAAACCATTACTTGTTGTACTTTACAGTTAAAAGTGTTTTTCCTCTACATATATTTGTAAAATCAAAGCTTTATATATATTTATATTTATATACATATACATTCACACATTATAGATAAAGTATTTTTTCGGCTTTATTAAAGTAATATGTGTATTTTATATCAATAGAATTTACATTTAAAAGTCAATAATTCGGTAACAAAAACTCATAACGATAAATTGTTCGTTTGGATAAATAAGCACTGAGACAACGAATTAGTACAAGATAATCTTCACGTGATCAGATGTCTTACGCCATGTAAAACATTGATAATTTTACAATTTTAAAATACGAGTTATACTCGTTTTGCTTTCATATAAATTAATTTTTTAACAGTGATGGCATTGCTTTAAATTTTACTTTTGTGCTAAAATCTCTAAATTATTGAACAGATATTAAACTAATATATTATGTAAATATATTTTTTTAAATATCTATAATTTCTTTCACACTATTAGCTCAAATAAGATTGATAACACCTATAAATTAACGTATATATTATTGAAACTTAAAAATTGACGAAGTTTAAACGTTATATAAAAGATATAAGAGTATATAATTTTTTTTCAAATAGGTGAGCACACTATGCGTAACTATCCGGCCACAGTGCACGGTGCCTTTCTATCGGGTCTCCGTGAGGCGGGACGTTTGGCCGATCTCTTAGTGCCCCAAGCTCCTATCACTAGTTCTAGCATTGCTGCGGCCTTGGCGAATAGCCATGGCTAAAACTTATTAATTCGACTTCAAAAATGAATACTGCTAATAAGTATTATCACCAAAATATCGAGTACTAGTAACTCGATATTTTGGTGATTCAATTTTTTTTTTTATTTTTTTATATAATAATATAGCATGGCCTATTAACGTACGTAGGTATAAACCTCAAAGTTGTACTGCTTTTAGTTCAATCTACTCTAATTTTAAGCATTTTTGTAGTTGGTTTAAAAATTTATGTATTTCGACATCGGACTATAATAACACTTTAATTTTTTCTTACGACTGAGTAAGGTAATCTGAAAATATTTGTTTATAAATTTAGTATAGATATAATGTTCTCTTACATTATAATATTAGGACCAATAATTTTTAACGTATTATGCAATTAACACTATTTTTGTCCTTTTTTTAAGTTTAACTGGAATGCATTCGTTAATTTATAAGACGAGATCCATTTTTCATTTAAATATTCAAAGTAAATTACAATAAATTTATCCAAACTTTGAATCTAGTTTAGTTCTTTTACTTTTATTTAATGCTTACAATTTAGTTTCTATTTTAGCTAATAAAACCTAATCAACTATAAGCGTTCTATTCAATCTATTTACGCATCGATAAAAGCCTATTATATAAATTGAATCAGATAAGATTCAAACAGTTGGTTTTAGAAAATTTTGTGATGTTATTTTTTAATTTTAGTGTAAACGAAATTTTATAAATAAAATGTTCAGTAACTGCAGATACCATCAAATCACTTGAAATTTTGTTTATTATTATTTTCTAACATAATAAATAATATTACTTACAAAACAACATTATTATTATAATCCGACATATAATCCAATGTTAAATAAAAATTAAACAATATTCGACAACAGTAGTATCGAAGATATTTGGTATTAAATTTTTAAGCACAGACTGATAGAAAATGTATTGGATAATAATAATTATTAGTAATTTTATTTGAGTTTTATCAGTCTTAGGTCTTCAGCTGTTATTGTGTGTAGAATGATTTTAGCTTCATTCGTAGGTACCCACTATAGAAATTAAGGACTATAAAAATTAAAAAAAAAATCCCCGACCATTTTGGACCGATTTTCATGAAACATAGCTAACCGACTAATTCACCTTTCAAACAAAAAAACAAAATCAAAATGAGTTCATCCGTTCGGGAGCTACGATGCCACAAACAGACACACAGCTACACAGACAAGTCAGTCTTATCATCCCGTCGTTTTTGCGTTTTGGGTTAACAAAAACATATTATTTCATTGGTGACGATGTCTTAAATTACATCTGCCAGTCCTTTAGACGATTATTATATTTGTAATTGCTATACCTATGTTATTTTGCTTATTAAGTTTTTCATCAATTTTAAATTAGAAAAAATTAATAGCGAGAACAAAATTTACGACTGTCGTTGTAAAAACACCGATAAATGTATGAAGAAAACACTAAATAAGTTAAAAACAATAATAAAACACGGTCTCTTGCCAATTTTATTGTCTCTAAGCTTTGAGAGAAGAGTTTTAAATTAAAAGCGAGATAATTAAGGACCCTAAAAGTTTTAAGTTCTTCGCTAGTTAAGAGCGACGTTTTAATTAATGTTTGTTTAGTTTTTATGCCGTTTACGCTAACAGCGGATGGCCGATGTGAAATATCAAATGTATTGTTAAATTTAACTCAAGCTTCAGATTTTAATTAAGCGACAGACAGATTATATGAAAACATACGAATTCTGTACAAAAAGACCTATTTTTTTACTAAAGAATTTGTTTTTATTTAGAGAAAATGCTTACGTGTTAGAGAAAAATGAGTTTCAATAATTATTTCGATTTTCTTATATTATACATTTTGGAAATTCCTCATGATGATGAACTTTTTTAGATGGTACTTGTAAGAGATCAAATGTTATTCAATACAGTATATAATTTTTCGCATTCTTCATTTTGTTTATAAAGTAATAAATAAGGATTTTGTTGTGTGGCTGTATAAGTAGTTACAGTCGTTTAGTTTTAAGCGAATAAGCGAAACTAAATATTGTTTATTCCAGTGATTTTATGAGCGAAATAATTCAATTTCATTGTTTTTCATCCATTGCTTAATATTATTTGTGTTTCATGTCATAATAAAAATGTAGCTTTTAAGATATCTTTTTGTAATTCAATAAAGTGACTTTTGATAATAAAGTTAATGTTGTATTTATTTTCTTTTACAAAATTTATTTCGTTTTGTGTATGCTAATTAACTGTTTAAGATTTTTATGGCTTTGTGGAGCTAAAAATTATGGGGGCCATTACAGTTATGCGACATGGCAAAATTACTTATTTATATGCACACCTAGTATGATACTAATTTGGTTTTTATAGTGTACGTTTTGACTACAAGTTTCTAGTAAAAATTCTTTTATTAGCACGTTTCAAATTAAGAAAATGTGTAAGACAATATATATCATTCTACGATATTTGAAGAAAAGAAATTTTATCTTATATTTTTTTTACATTAATTACTTCAACGATACTTCAACGATTGTACAATGACATCTTGTTTAAGCACAAATATAGCATATTCTATAATATCTTACATATTTTCATAAAATTTCTAACCAATTCCATTGTTACCATTGTATGTATTCAGCCCTTTTTTAACGTCCCACTGCTGGGGGTGGGCCTCCCTTCAGTACGAGGGGAATCAGGCCATAGTTCACCACGCTGGTCAAGTGCGGGTTGGCGGACTCAACATGTCTTTTGTAAACTAGGTTCTCTAGATATGCAGATTTCCTTACGATATTTTCCTTCACCGTAAGGCAAGAGGTAGGTAGGTAATGATGTTTGTAAATGATTCGAACATGTAAATATTAGAAGTGCGAGACCCCGATTTGAACCCGCTTCACTCGGTTTCCCAAGCTAGCACGTTACCACTGGGACACCGTTTGCCATTATGAAAGTCAAAATATTAGTGGAAAATTTATTATAATGATACCATATATTTATAAAATAAATTACTACTACGATAAATTGATTTCGATAATACTATATTCAGTTTCGTGCCGTATATAGGGACGGAATTGGGCAATATAATGATAAACAAACACACCTGCCTACACCTGTAGTACAATTAAAGGGAATCATAAAAAGCGGAACAATTTATTGTCTAGACGTTGTCTTTTTTATTCTATGGTAAACTAGTTTAATATGACGGTTTCTGAAAATATAATAAAAAAAGTATTTTGGAAATTCTGCTTCGAAACAAATTTATTAAAAGTTTAAAGGGGAGAATATTGTAGGTACATTGTTTTTTTATCGACTTGTATATTATGACGTGTATATTTTGTTTTATATATGTATTCACTAATTATGGACCGATTTGTCATATAATTCTATTTTAAGAAAAAAAATCCACGTCCAATGACGTAAATTCGGCATATTTTTCTGGTTAAAAGTACCTAATCTTTTTTTGTTGTAAATTTTTTTGTTTGTTGTGTTTTTAGCCACACATCACCTCAGAAGAAAAATTACTTACTGGTTTAAAGTTTTCTTTAAAAAAATAGTAATAATAATGCATAAATTAATGCGGTTACTGTATGTAAATATAAAAGAAATAAAATGTCAATATAGGCAACTACCTTATATAGCGTAATATATCCATAACCATATTTGTGAAGTCACTTGGAACTCGTATAGCTATAATTGTGACATTCAAAATTCATTATACAATTGTATGAATTTTTAAATAGGTATGAATCATAAAAAAAATTTAAGGAATAATTTTATATTTTTTTAAGGAATTAGTTATCCATATTATTATATTTGCCTAATATCACACATCTCAGACTAATTGAGTAAGATAGAAGAAACGCGCAGAAGATTATGATTGAATCCTAAATCTTATTATATTTAGCTATTATATATATATTATAAATATGTGCAAAACAAGCAAAATAAAGAAAATAAATATTGTGACTTTTCTTGAATCACGAAGTAAGTTAATAATATCTAAATTATCCCGATACTGCGTAATAGAGGTATATAATCCAAAAAAAAAAAGATATTTGTTGGTTTACCCTTCCAGATTTACTCTATTTATTTTAATGACTTTCGTCTATTAAATAAAAGATGAGAAGAAATATATGTGATTCAATAAGTTTTTTTAATATATTTATAATATATATTTTAAAACTAAAACTCTTAGTTTACTTGATGTTAAGATTAAATTCAAATTTTTAAATTTTAAATTCTATTCAGTATTAAATTATTATAATTTTTTACTGAACGTCATGAGACTACTACCACATGGGAAAGAAGAATCCTAAAATCTGAAAAGAACTGACGAAAGAAACTCTGAAAAAAATATACGTAGAGAATTTTAATTAGGTATAGGTACCTTCGTTGTTTTATTTAAAGAAAATAAATAATTACAACTATACTATTAAAATCCGGTCAAAATAACATTATTTGTTAGACGAATACAATTTTCATCATAAACGTTCTAATTAGGTTTAACACATTCAGTTTTTTTTTTGTTTTTACATTAACACACAGCGCCATCTAGTTCCATGTAAGCTGCGAGGCTTCTGTTATGGATACCAGATAGTTGATCACTACACATATATAACTTTAAATACATACATATTATAAATAAATATTAACACCCAAGACTGGAGTACAAACATTCGTGCTCATAACACAAATGAACGCCCCCTCCGGGATTCGAACCCGCGACTGTACCAACTGTGGTCACTACCAACTGAGCCAAACGTGTCGTCTAAGTATCTAATTTAGCATATCACTTTGAATTTATATCCATACTAATATTATAAATGTGAAAGTGTGTTTGTTTGATTGTTTGTCCTTCTTTCACGTGGAAACGACGTGACGGATCAGCATCATTTTTTGTGTGAAGACAGAGTGCTGGAGAGTGACATAGGTGTAATTTCTACCGCGGGAGATTATCTCATTCCCACGGGGAAACACTTTATAATACAATATTAGATCTATTTAAGACGT